GGAAAGATAATAAACAGATACCCTTTTTAAGAGATCTGTATTAACTGACAGCTGACCTTTTCTAATTTTTAACTACGGTATTAGCTTCATGGTGAAGTATAAACTTAGTTAACAAAGGACAAAATAGCTGAGGGATGACTAGTAATTTCTTCTGAATATACTTATACTTTTTTTAGGTGGTGGAAGTAACTCCTGCCTCTGGGGTAGACTTGCATGTTTCGCTTAGGTTCTTGTTTAAAACTTGTGAGATTCCAGCACAGACGTGCTGATTTGATTGTTTGGTTTGGGTATCACTGTACGGTGCCTGGAGATTGCTCATGTACTGGGTTGTATCAGGAGTTATTTCTAACTAGGTGTTTTACCTATCATAAGCAGTAGCTGAGGCCTCAGAGGGTGGTGCACGGAGTGTTGTGGAGCATTGCATTCTCTGTTGATCCCATCTATTTTAACTTCTTAATGCATTTTAATCCTTTACCAGATCCCATATTACAAGAGTAATTTAATTGCAGCATTTCTCCTTAGAGGCCAGGAGTCTGGCAAAGTTCTAAAACTTTGGTCTTGTTTGGTTCATGGTGTTTCCTTTTTTTTTTTTTTTTTTAAACTTTGGGTAGCCAAGCTGGAAAACCCTGTTAGAGACAACGGAGTAATGTGTTGCTTTCTTTTGCTTTGGTGGCAGAGGGCAATTTTTTTGTTGTAGCTTGCCTTTCAGCCCCACAAACCCAGCTGTCTGGGAAAGACAGTAAATCTTTTGGAATCCTCTGTTTCGTCACATTGTACCCAGGAGCACAAGATTTTAATAAATAAATTTCCTTATTGCTAGCAAATAATACAGTTTTTGTAGATACTGAATCCTTTTAGTCCTTTCATCTCCTGACTTCTGTGACTACAAGTGGATTTTGTACTGACAGTTGAGGTAGAGGATGGTCTTCCTCAGTTTCTTCTTAACTTTCTTACCCTCTCAGTTAGTAGAGGGTACACAACAATGGTGCACTATGCCTGCCTCAGATTAATGTTTCCTCACCAAACAGTGCCAGCCTTTTCTGTTCCATGAAAATCTTGTATCTCAACTGCTTGCTGTCTTTCTGGGCTCTTATGTATGATGCATTATGTCCTTTTTTTTTTAAGTGGAGAATAACACGACAAAAAAATAAAGTATATTTTCTTAGCCTGAGGTGGCCTAATGCTCTACTATATATATTTTCCTATCCTATTCCTTATATGTATGACATGGCTTTGTCTTCATTAATTTCCTCAATGATATGTTGCACATATGTGGTCTTCTACACTTTTATTTTCTTGCATATGAGATTTGGGGGTGTGTTGGGGTTAGTGATGTCCATGATAAAGATCATCATCAGCTTGCAGATCCCCAGCTCACAGGTATTGCGATGAGTATGTTCACTCATGTGTGGTCCTAGTAAGCATCTTGTGTGTGCTTTTTTGCCTTGTAGTAGAAGCAAGTGATTAAACTGAGCTGCATTTCTTTGCACAAGCTGTTGGAAGCAGCAGTGAGAAAATAAAGTGGAAACTAATGGTGTGTCGTGCAGATCTGTTGCACGGTTATTTCTGTGGTGATGAGCTGGCTACTTTTGTTCTGAAAAACTGATTTAGAACTTGTCTCATATGGGCTTGTGGATGTTCAAGGGGGTTGTGAACAAATACCTATCGAGGATATTTCTGACTATTACTTTTTAAAATCTGGATTATTTTCTTTAACCACAGGATCATGTAACTAGATTATTTTTTGTTTTGGTTTGGTTTTTTTTTTAATTTTTCATAAGTTTGAATGAGAAATGTATTGCACCAGACTCTTTATTAAAACTGTGTATTGTGTGCATTAGTATTGCAAAGAAAAAAGTTGGAGGTCTGGAAGGAACAGGAAGTAGATTTGATTTACGGTAGGAGAAATGAAAGTAACAGTGAAAGCCAGTTGTATAGACTACGGCTTGATGCTGAACGAACACAAAACAAATCTTTCATAAGCCTGCTTTTTTTTTTTTTTTTTTTCCACACAAAGTGACTTGTACACCAGGCTTCATAGAGCACACTGCTGCACACAGTGTGTGGATACAGTCACACTTATGTCTGGAGGCTCGATTGCATCCATGTGCTAAGGTGTTACTGGAAAGCTGATCTTAAGTTACTTGCTTGAGGCAGAGCTGCAGTTCTGCTACTGCTATTTTTTTTCTCCTGAAGCACTTAAAATTTTAATCTTTAGGTGTAACATGATGCATGTAGTAATGGGCAGACTTTTGGGTTTACTTCCACTACCTGATTTTTGACCTGTCTTTTATTATGGGAATGCTTAAGAGTTGTCTTCCTCATGGAGGTACCTCATGCTGCAACTTCTGAGGAAGTGATTCCCCAGCCTCAGCCAGTAAATGGGGATAGCAGCAGTTGACTGTACACCTTCCAGAGTTTGTGGTCAAATATATTCTGCAAGCTTGTCCAGGTGCAGAGTATGATTTTTGTAGTAGACTCTTTGCATCTGTGCTGTTATCCCTGTCCAGACTACATGTGCATCATCAGTCTGGCCATGGACATTCTAGGTATCGGCTGCCATCCTGCTACGTGGGGACACTTATGCATGCAAGTGGATGCTAGTGCTAGAGCAGCTGCATTAGGCATGCATAGGGTTAGAAATGAATGCATTGCTCCAACAGTCACCGTAGGCAAAGTGGGTATAACAGACTTGCATAGTAATTTGTTTTGAAGTTCAGTTAGTGCAGTGGATTGTGTTATGACTTGCTGTGATTTGTGATGGAAGCTGCTTGCTGTAATGCTGTACAGAAGCGGTATCTTATATAAAGTTTATTGTAAAATAAATTCTGGCCTGGGGAAGGAAAGTTCTGCATGAAAGCACAGGATTTCGAGAACTTGCTTTTTGCCCCTCTAGTTACAAAAGGGTAATTGCTCGAGACATCAGTTCTTCCTGAGCATTCAGCTTTACAAGAGTTGCCAATGCAGGTTTTGATAGCAAGTGAGACTGCATTCTTCACTGTCCAGCATACAGAGTTGAAAGTTAGTGATACCGTCTTAAGTTCCTGTGAAGACTTAAATCTCTTCCGTTGTTGATGAATTAGCTCTACTGTGTAAGTATCTCACTGTAATGCTCCTGATTGACATTGAGGTCCTCTCTGTAATTAGGACAGGCAGAGATTTTTTTTTTTTTTTAAATTGTATTCTAGGTTTTTGTCAAAAAGAGCATACTGCATCATACTACCCAATACTCTCTTTTCAAATATATTTGACCAGAAGTTAATTAAGTATGACTTTCTGTGTTGGCTGATAAATACTAGGATGCTTATGCCTGGTTTGTTTTGCTTTGAGATACCTGAAGCAGGAGATGGATCGTAGAACCTGCTAGTCTGTTCTACGTAGCGTGGTTTAATGTTCGTGTTCAGGGACCACTTGCTGTAGTGCTAGTAGCCATGTTGTCCTGTTACCCTTTTTCAGTAGGCGCCCTGAAACATTTAGGCAAATAGCTGAGACTCGACTGTTTTGGTGTCCAGCTGCTTTGCTTCTGAACAAAGTTTTGAGGATGTTGCTGTGCCGGGAATTATTCTGAAAGGTCTCTAAAGAATTTTCACTACTGTTCTTCAACTGCAAGAGGAAATTGCACTCCCTCCAACTTCATGAGAACCTAATTACCATTTCCTTCAGAAGAACGTCTATAGGGCTGTGAATGAGCGAGTTCTAACAAAATAAAAAACTTTTGTGATATTCCTCTGCCTCCCTGGTTCCTGATGTTCGGTTTCTGTTGCAAAGCCCTACCTAGCCTTTCTTCATTTTAATATGCTTTAAAGAAAACAACCCTTTCGAGCCTGCTGCCCGTTAATAAAGCAGCCGAATTGGGTAATCTAGCTTGGAACAAAGGTCTTCTCATAAAGGATCTGGTAGGTTAGTAATAGAGGGAGGGCCACTGTGCCCTTGATTATTTGAGTCTCTGAACACAAAGGAAAAAAAAAAGGGGGGGGCAAATAGGAGTTGGAGGAGGAGTTAAATCTTTCTCCCACTCCCTTACACTTGGTTTAAAACCTGCCAGCCCCTCTGAGTAATCTTCTAAGCAGAAATCACGTCATCTTTGACCCTAGTTTTTGGACAGGGAAAGTATTAAATGCTTAGCTTAAAAAATAAAAACAAAATCCCATACCCCACCAAAGAAGGACATCTGTTTCTAACTTCAGCTTTTTATTTTTTTATCTTTCATTTTTTTTTGTTGGTAAATCTCCCAGACAACAGCAGTTCTGTAGAGAGTTTAAATATGAAGGAATGGCAGGACGGGCTAAGGGCACTTCTACCGAACATTAACATCAACTTTGGTGGACTGCCCAATGCTTCTTCCCCCTCCAACGCCAACCACAGTGTACCAACGTCCAACACTGCCACCACCGACAGCCTGAATTGGGACAGCCCTGGCAGCTGGATGGACCCCGCAATCATCACAGGTAACCGTTTCTCACTCCTTCAGCTCTGCTGGCAAACCATCAAATGGGTATTTGGCACAAACTGATCTGGAAAAATCTGGAAAAAAAGAAAAAGTCAGTATGCGGTGGTCTCTTCCAGCTTCCATCCACAAAACCTTCAAGGGTCCAGGAATTTTTGTGGAACCGCTAGGTATAACGAAGCGTCGCTTAGGCCTTTGCAATGCATGCCCAGGACCTTCGCAAGCAGTCAGGCGGATCAGTGCTTACCTATAGGGTCAATGTAGGTGTCCCTCCTGCTGGGTGGCATGTCCGGTATGTGCGCCGCTGGTCCTGAGGCACTGAAGGCATTCACTGGACTTTGTTATTTAAAAAGGGACGTACTCCACTTGTTTATAAAGCTCTCTTTTATAAGGCTGTCTGGTTGTGTTTCCCTGTTAGAGAGGCTGAAGCATGGTTCAGGTGGGCAGAGTAGGAGGTGAAGCATGCAGTGTACTGGTAGTTTGGTCTGTTAAGGTCATGTCAACAGGGATGCAGTCCTTGCGCAGTGTGTTTGATAGAAAAAAGCGTATTTTACAGAGAAGTGCTCTGAGGGGGAACTTTCTCCTATCTGGATTTAATGTTCAATGTTTTGCAGGCAGGGTAATTGCAATAATGTAGAATGCATTCTCTGTACAAACTAATCATTTTTTCTCACTGTTGCTTTTTGTTAGGTTAAATTGACCTCCTTCGTGCTCAACTTATTGCTTCTGCTCTGACTTGCCTGTATCCCTATTTTTTTTCTTCTCTTCATAGGTATCCCAGCCTCCACAGGAAACAGTTTAGACACCCTTCAAGATGACAATCCTCCACATTGGCTAAAATCTCTTCAGGCCCTCACAGAGGTGGACGGCCCCAGTGCAGCACCATCACAGACACACCACAGTAACCCCTTCGGCACACAGATCCCTCTGCACAGAGCCAGTTGGAATCCCTACTCTCCTTCTTCAAACCCCACCAGCTTCCATTCCCCACCTCCAGGCTTTCAGACAGCCTTCAGACCCCCCAGTAAAACCCCCACAGATCTACTACAGAGCTCAGCGCTGGATCGTCATTAGGAAAGGAGGAAAAAGAAAAAAGAAAAAGAAAACCCAAAACGTTAGAAATGCAGGAAGTCTCCCACCCTGACTCCTCCCCATGCCCACCTACTGTTCCCTGTCATATCTTTCTTTCTGGAGAATCCAGTTCCTGATCAGACCTCCCCCCCAAATGCAATGCCATCACAGGGTCACGACCGTATCTTTTCATTAAGTTTCTGCTGAGCCAGTGTTTGAAATACACTGTTGGAAATACTTTCTAACCATTCTTAGGGGAAAAAAAAGAGAGAGAGAAATCAAAATGCAGTCTCAATGCTTAAGGAGAATATTACTGTCTTATGTCTTTTGCACATGACTGTTTCTGCCTAGTGGAGAAGTGTCAGTCTGCAGTAGGGGAAAGAATGCAATGCAGAATCAAATGCAGAAACATGGAAGAGGTATTTAATTTAACTGAATTTACTAAACGCGGGGCAAGCAGTGGCCTAGCATTTATTTTGCATTCAGTGTGGCACTACACAGGGAAATTGCTATTTTTTTTTTGAGGAGGAGGATTTTATTGTGTCAGTCAATGAGAGTTTGGCATGAAGTGTGAAAGACAAAACACTTATAGCTATCAGTAACTGGCATGTTGCTAAAGCGTGGTTTAAAGAGGGGAGAATAAGATTTTTCTTTAATTTTGGCTTTAGATTTAAAATAAACTTTAATGTTTTAAAAGTATTCACAGATTTACTACCTAGCATATATGTCATATAATTATAAGCAGCTGAAACACGAGTGATATTTACTTCAGTCTTTGTCTCCTCTGTAGTCTCTCTTTCTTTTTTTTAAAAAAAAACAGATTCACCTGATTAGGGCACTCTGGGATAGCACTGCATTGGGGCCACATGATCACCATCAGGAGCAACCTCTGACCTCCTCTGCCTGCAGCTTTTACTTAACCCTGTAGTTTCTGGACGTTTGTGCAGTATTGAAAAGACAGGAAAAAAGAAACAGATAAATAAACATGGTTATAACCTGACGCTAAAACTAAAACCAAGGAAATGTACCTCTTTCTTCAGAATTAAAACTAAAATCTGAAATAAAACAGAAAACTTGATGATGACTTCATGTTTGCTTGTTTTTTTTAAACTTGGATATTGAATTGCTGCTGCATCTGGTAAAACCATATGTCATTGCATGATTTTTTTTTTCTCCTTTTCATCGGAGCTACTTTTCATGGAGATACTGCTTTGCATGATGACTTCTGCATTGAAGGGTGAAAAAAGCATATACACTTTAAATGTTTAAAGGATTTGTTGTCTTTACTCATGGCAATAGCTAGAGGCTGTCTGTCTCTAAGCTTTGTTGATGGTATCCTTTGAAATCTGAAGCATGAAAAACTTGTTTATACTTTCTGAATTAAATGCCATGTCACTTGGGACAGGTAGCATGCAATAATGTGACTGAAGGTGTGGTGGAGAATTCTGGTTACAACTCCCTGTTTCCATCAGCGTCCTCACATACAGGTGTAATATAATGTCACTGTGCAACAGGGGGTGAAGAGCTCTTAACATACAGGAGGCTTGCAGCAAGCTCTTGCGCTTCTAGCCAGAGATCAGTTTTGGTGTTAAAAACCAGCAGCCTGGTGATTGGGGTGCTGGGTTGGTGTGGCTCATCAGAGATGGCCGAGAGCCTGAAGTGCTAAAATGCCTCTGTGGAAGGGTTTCTCGCCTGGTATGAGCTGTATAGCTCAGGCTGGCAGCCCTCCTAAAATGTCTTCCCCTGGCAGCGGCGAGGAAAAGGGAATTCACGCTGCTGAGCTGTGGGCACCTAACGGAGGGAAACTGGCCTTGCGCTGTGCGGGGAACGGAAGCGAGTCCTGAATCGATCACTGGACAGGGGAACCAAGCACTGAATCTGCATGAAGTGGCGCTGAGTATCCTGCTCTGTAAAACATCACTTGCTGGGGATTGCCTGCTTGTGCTCTTCTCTCGCCTGTGTTGCCGCATAGTGCTGTATCCAGGGTCCGTGTGAAGGAACTGCATGTTCTGTTTCTGGACAGGCATGGTTGCTGCAAGGCAGTTGGTGCCCTGGTTACCTGGGAGCATGTGCGCACCCTCCGACGCCAGCACCCCCCAGCAAAACAAGCAAGGTCGTCATCGCCCAGTCTGCCCCTGCCCAGTCCCCCCGGCTGTTGCTGCTGGGGACGAGGGAGAAGCACTGCCTGCTGCGACCGCGGGCTGGGAGCACTCTCCAGTGCAGGGAACAGTCTGCTGGAGGTGCTGGTGAAGGCGCAGTGGCCTTTTGTTTTGTATTTTCTTTTAACTTCCCTAGTTGTTAGACACTTTTCGACCTTTAACACTTCTCGTCTGGAAGGGTGCCTTTCTTCACTCTGAGAACAAGCAAGCCTCCCAAAGCAGCTGTAGCTGTTCCTGTGTGCCACAGCAGTTCCTGAAGCTGCTGCCACCTTTTGTTCTTGATTTGTCTCTGCCCCAATTTAGGATGCGCTGAGGGAAATGTGTGCCTGCGGTCTGTTGCCACTGGAAAACAGGCTTCAGCTGCTCAGGACAGCGCTTGTTGCCTGCTGCTATCCAGTAGATTCTGTGGTCCGCCTACTGACTGACTCTTAGCCTTAAGGAAAAGGTTTGCAGCTAGAATGGTTTTTCTCTTTATAGTGCCACCCTTCCCCCCCCACGAAAGACTTCTTGTTGAGTAACGTTGGTGTTATCACATTAAAATACATCAGTGTTCAGGTTGATGGGGGGGGGGTGCAGCATCTGCCTCTTCTGTCCAACTTTTATCTACTGTCTGATGCTGATTCTTGGATCCCCCCAGTCAGGAAGCAACCTGGCATTTCACTCTGTTCAACTGTGTGGAGCTCTGTTAGTTTCTCCTGAGGTTTTTGTTGCTGATGGACTGTTCTGTGACAAGAAATTCTGTATAGGAGCCTTTATTGAAAGGAGAGCATCCATGTGTCTGCTTTGTCCGTGTGATCATCTCGGTGCACGGTCTGGTTTTTTATGCATTGTGTGGACATGTGCAGCTCTTCCTTATGTTCAGCCGAGAGCAGAGCTTGACTAAAAGGCTGGTGACCCAGGACTAGCAACACATTTGGTAGATGGTGCCTGGCAGAGATGAAACTGGAGACAGAGGATGGACCAGGCTCATCTTCCATAACAGATATGAAGGTGTGTTGAGGGAGGGGAGGGACTTATTAGCCGTGGTCGTGTTGGTACAAGAAGTTCTGTTGCATTTTAAAAGAATTCACAATAGTAATTTGGGAGTCAGCAGTGCTGGGCTGATACTAAGGGTTTCTGGTTCGTTTTTTAATTTGAATAATAAGGATGTTTCTCTGGAGTACAGCAAGGAGTATAATGTCACCTTCTAGGTAAGGTGAAGAGCCACTGCATGAATTCCTTTTCATTTAATAATGTCCATTTCCTACTTGCAAGTGAAGTGTGAGCAGGTGTGTGCCCTTATAAATGCAGTGTCTTGACAGGGTTGCTCAAAACGATGCTTAAAAGACCACTGCCAACTTCTATGACAGTTTTTAATCACAGAGTTATGCAGTTTGTATTCTAGATCCTGAACTCATAATTTTTGTTTTCCTTCTCCTCCATCATAGACTCCAGCCTCCAAAAAGTCTTCATCCGAGATGCTTATTTAATCATAGACATGCAGTATGTTGTGTTTTAGAGAAAATGCAGTGTGTTTAGGTTTTCTTGTGTGGGGTGGCTTTTTTGGTGGTGATGGTTTTGGTTTTGTGTGTTTGGTGGGATTTTTTGTTGGTTGGTTGGGTTTTTGCAGCTCTGTAGAAAAGGGCAATGCTGCTGTGGAGTGTTCTTTGGCTTGAACACCTTTTTTCTTCTGGGGGAATGTGCACAAATTTCCTCCCTCACCTTTGCAACAGCGCTTAGAAAAATACGCTTGAGAAGATTGTAGGACAGTTACCTGGGTGCTTTTTGTTATTCCTTATCCTCAGAGAGGCGAACTAACCCCTTGTAGAAGTTGCCTTAAGCTGGAAAGGAGCTCAGATTTGGTGTTGGTCTTCAGCATATGTAAATCCACCACGTAGCAGGTATGGCATTGCCTAGGAGTAATTCCCTCCAGGGAAAGTTGTGGGCTGGGATAGAAGCTTACTGCTCAGAACTGAGGTGTGTCAAGAAACGTTGAGAGGTGGCACAGTACTTCAAGGGTTAGGGGACTGGAGCTGTCACCAGCCCTGCTTGAAGGGGTTGTAGGTACTCCTAACTTCCTGACGAGGATGAACTTTCCTCCAGTCCAGCTGGCCAGCTGCTAATGACACAAATTTTTAGCGTGCACACAAAACAAATAATGTGAACTGTTACGTTTATGTGGCAATGTGAAGGCTCCTGAGATGGAAATGTTGAAAGGAAATTCTTGCCATACAAGTAGAGGTAGCTAGAGCCACTTGTGGGGATGCAGGAGTCTGAACTGCTGCCTGGTGGAGGTTTGAAGCGAGCTGAGTGATCATGGCAGCAACGGATTTGTTACTGGCTTTGCTGATGAAAAGCACTGGTTTAGGGTGGTGCTGATGCAGTGATACTAGGTGTGGTAAGTCATGTGAACAGAGATGGTGTCACTGTGGAGGAAAACAGTATAGAAAAGTCCTTGTTAACCTAAAGCAAATAGGAGAGTGGTCTGCCTGACCTGTGGTGGTCGTGAGGAGCCCATCTCCTGGAACACGGATGAGGTGGGATCTTTCAGTGGGATGCAGTCATCACACAGTTAATGTTGCTTTCTCCTGTGAAATCTTTCTGGAGTACTGTTTCCTCCCTCCAGTCTTCAGACTTAAAAATTTGACAAATCCCTCTCCATTTCAGAGACGCCTGGAGAGAGGGTGGGACTTGCTCAGCGCTCTCCTGTTCGTACCAGCACTGCAGCACTGGAAATGGTAGTCTAGGAAGCTTGTACTGGCAGAGAGTGACCGTTCTGTTAGAGATCGCAACGTACATCATCTTGGAGTCTTATGGCTTCAGAATTTGAATGTTACAGGTCCAGCATTAACCTTGTCCTCAGAGAGGGTCTGAAACCTCCTCTGTCAGTGTCAACAGTCCTAGGAGGCTGGGATGCTGAGCTTTGCTGGAGGATTTAAAGTTGTGACCAAAACTTGTTTAGCTCTTTCTAAAGGCTGAGGTTTCCAATGTGGAGTCTGAAGGTTAAAATCCTCTTTTTTAAAAAAACTGAGGGTGCTTTCTCTCTCTGTTCAGCCACCGAGCAGAAAGCAACTGCTTGTGAGGTTTGCCTGGGACACAAATTGGCAATGAGCTGACC